AGGGAAGAGCAGATGGACACACCAACTCATATCAGCAATCAAAATGAGAGAGACACTTGGAGCCCTAAGAAGAATGCATGACATATACTTCTAAATGCATGTGCAAACTACTGTAATGTTTTGGAAGTATCCAGATGAAGATATTTTTCCTGGTTAACTCTCACAGCAGTCAGTATTCCATAATACTTGTATTTTTCTCTTAAACATAATAGCTCCATGAAATTCCACAGCTACTGTCCCACTGATACAACATCAAAACCATGCAGATTTACAACAATGTTGTTTCAGCACCTGAAAGACCGCTATGTAATTTCAGGTCTTTCCTACAAGAGAAAAACTAGATCTTAAAACAGTTCCACCTACATAGAAAAAAGTATTTTAAAAAATATATACATATATAAAGCATAATAACCACAACAAAATCAATCCCACATTTATAAAGCTACCGTGCCTGAACTACCAGTGAAAGATAGTCACTCAATGTCAACAACCAATGAAGCAAGAAATACAAGGGGACAAGAGCTGTTGAGCAATATGAAGTGTTTCACAGTTTCTGTGGCTGTCATTTTAAGAGACTGAGATCATACTGAATTCTTGTGTTTAATTAGATAAAAGTATGTGGAATCAGAATACAGAGAAGACACTTGCAGGTATCTTTTATAATTGCAGAGTTTTTTTGTTGGTTTTGTTTATGGCTTTAATAACCCACTTTGTTTTGTTGTGCTGAAAAGGAAGACAAGTTAAATGTTAACATCTGTCTTCAGCTGATGCTGTCTTACTTTTCTTCTACAGTTTGTTTACAACTAATTGCTGAGTCACCAGGCAGCTCATCCATTTCCAAAGACTCTAAATCAAGTCCCAGAGATAAAGGTCTTGATCGCCATGAAAATTACAAGGCCTGCAAGGCCACTGGCATATCTTCACTAGCTTCAATGCTGTGGCAGGCCACTGCTGGAAACAGAGGACAGTCCTGATCCACTCATAACTACTGCAGAGCTGTGAGTTCAAATGTCTTCATCTGAGGAAAACTACTAGCACCTAAACCATCACAGTAATTTTGGCAGCTGCACACAACACAAATTGGCTCTTCAATACTAGCTAAATTAAAATACTTAAAAGGCTTACAGGAGTTCTACATAAAAGCTAAACAAACTTACCACTATTGGCATATTTAATTCACTTCCAGAATGATTGTTGCAGTAAGTTTAATTAGCTTCCTGTAGGAACTCTGAATAAAAGCCACAGGAATTTTAAAAAAAGAAAAAAACAACAACTTATAAGCTGTTTTCCTCTCTGGGTTTCCCTTCTCTATCTCACTGGTTCAATATTTGGCTCTTAAGTAGCTGAGATAACTTTAGAAGTGGCAGACATCTATTCTGCATTTCATATTTCAAGCAACTGAAAGGCAAAAGTGCAGCACAGACATTTACACTGAGTATATTGTAAAAATGTAATCAGTATACAATCAATGTATTGAGCCAATGTTTGCTGCTCTTTCTACCACTCTAACAATTAAAATTTTAGAGATGCACCAGAATTGGTCACCTGTTCTCAAGCACTACTACTCTGAATTCAGCACTACTATTTTGCATCACAGTGGGCTGACAAATTTCTTATTTTCATGAATCTGCTGTCCCCTGGTTTAATGACATATCACTCACCTAAATACTCCAGAAACATCAGAATTTCCACTTATCACCTACAGCCTAATGCATCCAACATGGTCATTACAGCTATGATGTATTTAAGATTCATTAGCACTACAGCTGCTACCGCAGAGGTCCAAAAAGTTTCCAGTGTTTAAAACAAAAGGTAAAATCACATAGTAGTTGCATCCAATGTATTTAACAATCTGACATAATGCAACTGTAGTGTATAATTATACTCTAGCAACAGATAATTCAGTTCATACACATGAAGTACAAATATGCAGGTATCCTTAGAATAACATGTGAAATGACAGCTGTGTCATCAAAGCTATTAAGGCAGACATTTTTTCAGGTATGAGGAAAACAACAAAAAAGATGCACAACAGTTAACGACGTTAATTACCTTGTCCTGACAACAGTTTGATGAACACTTGCTACTTACATCCACACTACACTGAGGAAGCATACAATAAGGGGTTTCAAACTCCAATTTCTATGAGCATATGGCTATGCCTGCAGCATTTGTAAGCATTATTATCTGTTACAGAGCAGACAGTGACAAATACAGCTGAACAAGTTTTTAAAAAGTGGCAAGGAAATGAGTGAGGAAAGAAAGAGACCATAGAAGCAACTTGAAGCATCTGGGAAAAGCAGCAATGGGGGGAAAAAAAAAAAAAAAAAAAAAAGAAGTCCCTATAAATTAGAAGGAAAGAGCCTGGGCTTTTCATTTTCCTTGGACACCATGTCTTGGCACAGTTTGCTACAAGTCCCAGCCGGGGCTGCAAAGGGCATGGTTGTGGCCTGAGCTGAAGGTACCTCACAACAGCAGTCTTAGCCTCACCACAAGCCTGCGGGATGGCATGTGGCGCTCCTCAGACCTCACTGGTGTGGGGATGAAAATAAGGGGCACTACCCAGGCACAAGTTTTGTAGTGACAGCACCTTCTTCCTCCCCGCGCCCCCGCTGAGATGCCGCAGCCAGGGGCGTGACACAGCCCGGGCTGCCCTGCGGCCTGTCAGCCG